TCAGTGCTGATAACTCAAAGCCTGCTTGGGATTCTTTCTCCCTCGCTCTCTGCCCCTCCCCCGCTCATGCTCCCTCTTTCTCTCTCAAAAATAAATAAAAAAAAATAGAAAGGAAGTTGGATCATACTACTTTTTTGGAGGTCCATTCCAGTCTTAGCAGGCTGTGATTTTTGTTGGATTCTAATGGTAAAAGCTTCTCTAGTTCTTCCAAGACCGGTCCCCTGAGTTACCAAGGTGAATGAGGAAGAGAAGGGTTTTTATTCTCTCTTTGCCTTGGGAAAGTGGAAGCTGAGATGTGCTTGTCCGTAATGAGTGACTTTAATAACAATCACTCTAACTTTTGGTTTTTCCATAGTTTTGACTTACTTTCTTCTTTCTGGTAGTGTGTGTGTGTGTGTGTGTGTGTGTGTGTGTGTGTATACTGACCTCTTTCCAGGGAGTCTAATTCACCTTTTTGTGTTCCTCTTAACTCGTAGGGGAAACTGACTCTACTCTGTGATGCCAACACAGATGGCAGCTTCCTTGTGCACCACTTTCTCTCCTTCTACCTCAAAGGTATACGACTCATTGGTGCTATAGAAAAAGAAACCTAAGGCTAAAAGCAATGGGAATGGTATTAACTAACTAGGTCTTAGGTGTTTGGGTAGCCAGATGGCTGTTTATTAGGTAACAGGTTACTTGACCATCTTGTTCCCTGCCCATCCCTGCCAAAGGGTGGTATGTGCTCCTATCTTCCCTTCTCCACCCAGTGTGCAGGCATGGTCTCACTGAGATCCTCGTGTGGCCTCCTGATTTAGTTGCTCCTCAGTCTTTATGTATTTCTCTTTTTTTTTTAAACATTTTGATTTATTTTTGAGAGAGAGACACAGAGCATGAGCAGGGGAGGGGCAGAGAGAGAGGGAGACACAGAATCCAAAGCAGGCTCCAGGCTCCGAGCTGTCAGCACAGAGCCTGAAGCGGGGCTCGAACCCATGAGATGTGAGATCATGACCTGAGCGGAAGTCAGGTGCTGAACCAACTGAGCCACCCAGGTTCTCCCCAGTCCTTGTGTATCTTGAGGTTTTGGGGCTCTGGACCCATGGACATGTTGCCCTGGAAGTAGATGCTTCCTAAAGAACATAGGAAAACTGTGGGGCCACTGCAGTTTACATATGAAAATGGATTAGAAGAAGAAAACAGCCAAATGAAAAAAAAGACTCATTTATATCAGCTGATTCTCCGTGAGCCCCTACTGAGCCAGGCCAGAATAGAGTTTACACCTTTGGCACTCTTAGTTGTAATCGTTCATAGCTTTGAAAGTTGTTTTCTTTTCCAGATGATATTATTGTCAAGATTGAAAGAGCAAGAGAATCTATAGATAAAATATTAGGACTAATTATGTTCATTAAGGTAGCTAGAGTTTCTTTGTGTTCCACTTATAATTTCTTGGATATAAGACCAGTTTTTAAATAAGTGAGTTGTTAAAAAAAAAGTATTTCTGTACAAACAGAAAAGCATTACTTTTTAAAAACCACAATTTATTTACAATAGAACAAAACAAGGTACCTATGGATACACATAACTGAAGAAGTACATTTCAGGATCAATGAAATAGGTATAATTATTATATATGAAAAAAAGTGCAGCTTAGAATCAAATTGGGGATGTCTGGTTGCAAGGCCTCTTGGGTCTATAGACCCAATAAAGTCAGAGCTTTATTTTCTAGAGGTACAAAGTATATGAGACTGATTATACATAGAGACTTTATTAAACATCTGTTTATTTTGTTTTCTAGCTAATTGTAAAGTCTGCTTTGTGGCACTGATCCAGTCCTTCAGTCACTACAATATCGTGGGACAGAAGTTGGTAAATATTGTAGACCTCTGTGGTGCAGAGTATGTGGGTCATGCAGGTGTGAGTAGGGCCAAGGCTGGGCTCCCCTGGTTGGGTTGTAGAGAACTTAGCAAGGGAGGGACTGAGGAAATCATGGAGTTCTGAAACCCTTATCTGAAAAGCTAAGGCAGCATCTCTACCTGTTTTACTCATTTAGAATTTATAGAACCAAATCAGTTGTTAATTAATCAAACCTAGCTCTACTGACTCTGGACCAGTTAAGATTTTCTCCTTCTCACTGTGGGCTTTAATCTTAGTTCTGCTGGGTTGGAGACCCACAGCTTGGTCTACCACCAAGTTGAGTGCCTCCTACTGTTTCTCCCTAAGTCTACGGCTTAGTACTCAAAGGTGGAGAGAGGTGCTTTTGTGACCTGCTCCTTACCTCATCTCGGCCTGCCTTTCATCTTATCAGATGTAGGCAGGCAAGAATAAGATGGCCAAGAGTCTGGCGAACCTTCTGGCCTAGTCTAGGCCATCACCTGTGACCTGTGACCAGGTGGGCTTACTAGTTTTTGTTTGTTAGTTTTGTTTTTATTTATTTATTATTATTTAAAAATTAAAAAAAATTTTTTTTAATGTTTATTTATTTTTGAGAGAGACAGAAACAGAATGCAATTGGTTTGGGGCAGAAAGAGAGGGAGACACAGAATCTGAAGCAGGCTCCAGGCTCTGAGCTGTCAGCAGAGCCTGACGCAGGGCTCGAACTCACAAGCTGTGAGATCATGACCTGAGACGAAGTTGGACGCTCAACTGACTGAGCCACCAGGCACCCCTATTATTATTAAAAAAATTTTTTTTTATTTACTTAATTTATATTTGAGAGAGAGACAGAGAGAGAGAGCATGGGGGGGGGGGGGGGCGGTCAGAGAGAGAGGGACAGAGAGAGAATCCCAAGCAGGCTCTGCACGTCAGCACAGAGCCCAATGTAGGGCTTGAACCCACAGACTGAGATCATGACCTGAGCTGAAACCAACAGTTGGACTCTTAACTGACTGAGCCACCCAGGTGCCCCTTGTTTTGTTTTTAATAGGCTAGCCTCAGAGAGGGAAAGAACCAGACCACCCATTAGCAGTGACTACTGAAATGCCAGTCTTCCTATTGGGCCATTACACTGCCTGATGTCACTCTGATGGGGAGAAACAAATGAGAGAATGGGAGGAGGGTAGACTCTTTCCCATCCTTTGCAGAGAAGGAAGACCTCCTGTGGTAGAGGTCAGAGCATGAGCTCAGGGAGAGCAGTCATGTCAAGAACACACGTGCATTCCAGGTCTGTGAAGCCTGTCTCTATGGCCCTAGCATCAGTGTCTCTGGGTGAGAAGGCTGTGTATTCTCATGTCCAGATTGGCTACTTCTTCTGTTGCCTTTGAATCATCAGCATAGCAAGAATGACAGACATGGTACGTGAAGTCCATGAATGTGAGCCTCCATACTTTGGCGTATTATTGAACTGCCATTAGTAGAATTGTCATGAGCAAGAGCAAAGGTGAACAGGAGTCTTTCTCTCTGCCAGGGGTGGCTGTGGAGCTCATGGTGCTGCATAGTGGAGGACACTGGGGTATAAATGAGCAATTGAGACCTGGTCTAGGGGCATGAGGAATCTAAAGAGTTCCACGTGACCTATTTCTGCACAGAGAGAGCAGTGAGTTGCAGATTTAGATTGTGTCTGTCCTTAGGTGTTTGTTGAAATGCAGATTCTTGGGCCTTGCCTGCAAAGCTTCTGATCCTGGAGGTTTGGAATGGTGCTCAGGGATCTGCATTTTAACTGGGTGTTTCCTAAGAAAAAGATTCTTAATTGGGTAGTTTATAAAGAGCCATATTAAGAAATTCTGGTCTAGAGGTGCCTGGTGGCTCAGTCGGTTAAGTGTCAGAGTCTTGGTTTCATCTCAGGTCATGATCTCATGATTTGTGAGGTTGAGCCCCGCACCAGGCCTGCGCTGACAGTGTGGAGCCTGCTTGGGATTCTCTCTCTCTCCATCTCTTTCTGCCCCTCCCCTGTTCATGCTCTCTCTCAAAATAAATAAGTAAACTTTAAAAATTTTCTAGAAAATAAGTTTTAAAAAAGCTCTGGTCTAGAGGAGGGCTAGACAGAGTGTAGCCACTGCCATTTGTTTATGAATTGTGTGCGGCTGCTCTTCCTCCACAGAGTATTGCAGCGTAGATTGTCTCACCCTTTGCAAAAAAAGTTTGCTGAGCTCTGAACTAGTGCATCAAGAGCTTGTATTGTCCTAACTCTCATGGGAGTGCTTCCTCAGAGGTAGAGGGAAGAGAAGGAGAACTTGCTGGTAATGCAGTCTTCCTGTATTCTAGGCAGCCTGGCAACTCCAATCTCTGAGTTATGTGATTTGAAAGCCTCAGAGCAACTCTGAGGTCCTGTGCCACTGATGTGTAAACAAGAGGGTTTGTGAAACTCAAAGCCAAAATCTGTCCCTGTCTCCTTCACCAGCATTTTTCAGACCTTGGTCATTCTCCCACCATTTTATTGTCATTATTATTGTTTCTAAATACACTTAATTTTATAAGTATGTGCATTTGTAATACTACTGCAAATTAGAACCAAGTATTGAGTAATCACAAAAATGAGCATATAAACAAAAATGTCAGTTTTTTAAAAAGTGATAAATGTAGAGGCTCACCTCAAAACCGTGGGGATCGTGGGTTGGGACCACGCAATGGAAAGAAGGCGTGGGCCCCATACAAAGGTGTACAGGTACACATTTGCAGGGCTTAGAATGTGTCCTGTACCTTTTTGTGAGCTGGAATCCAGCCTCTGTGAGGGGTTCCTCTGAAAGGCACAGTAATTCACTCTCCTCTGTGTTGTGTTTAGGGTGTCAGCCTGACTGTGGCACGGGAGTGCGGGCAGCTTGTGTTCCTAGAAGGTCTTAAGTCTTCGGTGGATGTTTTCTTCCGGGCTCAGGCTGAGCCACACCCCTTGCAGTTCCTCAGGTCAGTCAGCCTGCAGCCCAGCCCAGAAGTGCATGCCTGGTAGGTGGACCCAGACCAGCTTTGCTGGGTGATTCCTCCCGTGCATGGGTGGGGGGACAGAGCTGGCTTTCAGAGGTAGCCATTTCCCTGGTGTTACAGCATTATTGGAAAGCTCTTGGCTCTTACCATGGGCTAGAGGGTATATGGCTGACCCCAAAGCTACAGAAAGCATTATTTGCTGGGAGTATGGCAGAACGGTATGTTTTTCTAACCTTGCTCAGAGCCCTAGCACACACCTTTATTCTGTTTTGGGGTTGATACAGGGATCGGCACACTATGGGCCATGGCTGGCTACCTGTTTTTGTAAATAAAGTTTTATTGGAATAGCTGCATTCATTTGTTTGCATATTGTCCCTGGCTGTTCTCTCCCATAGCACAGTTGAGTAGTTGAGACAGAGATCATTTGACCCACAAGCCTGAAATATTACTGTTGGCCTTTTAAGAAAAGTTTGGTGACCCCGGTTTGCTATTCTGAGATTGGGTTTCCTGCTTTTTGTCTTTTATGAGTGTCAGCCACAAACATAGCTCTGTGCAGACTCCCCACCTGTTCTTCCTTCACCACAGAGGAGTCCGTATGGGAACTCTCCCTGCTGCCCCCTCTCTCAGATGCCACCTTTTGCAGTGGCTGGAAGGCAGTGTGGAGTCAGAAGGCCCTGTGCCCTGACCCTGTGTGTGTGATCTCTCACATAGCTTTTAGCGTCTCTGAACCTGGGTGCCTTCGTCTGAATGATGGGCCTGGTGACACCTGACCCCAGGTTGTGGGAAGTTGTTGTCCTTGCTGTTAGTGGGCCGCAGACCTGGAGCGTGAGCAGGTGCCTGGGCCCTGTGCTCTGGTGCTTTTTGAGCCTCTCTTGCTGGGAAGTGACTGCCAAGGTAGTCATTGGAGAGATGGAGGTAGCTGGGCCAGCTTCTTTAGAAATAGGTGGAATCCGGTAGGTACACAAACTGCCCTTAGACCTTGGTTCTCACCACCAGGTCACCTGAATGGCTATTTAGCTTTTTGCACCCATTATGACCTCCTGGGAAGACGTCTTCTGCCTGCCCAATCCAAATTAATCTTCTAATACCTTAAGCTCTTGGGTTGAGGGGCTGGCTGCATGGTGTCTCTTAAGGACCCAGGAGGCTGTTTATTTTTGTGTACCCCAGTTTCTAGCACAGTGCTTTGTACCTACTAGGCCTCAAGGAATATTTGAAGTACAGCTTGCTTGTGTATGCACGCATGCCTTTTCTTTCCAACCAGATCATGAACCCCTTAGTGCCAAGGACTATGATCCAGTTCTCTGCCTCCCCCAGCCCTTTCCTGTGGTGCTGCTTGGTCCCAGATAAACATTTGTAGACAGAGTGAACTCTCTGGTGACTCTCGCTTGATGTTCCAGGGAGGCCAATGCTGAGAACCTGCAGCCACTGTACGAGTTTGTGCGGGAGGCTCTGAAGCCCGTGGATGATGGAGAGGCTGCGTGGAGGTGCCCAGTGCTGCTGGTGGACGACCTCAGTGTGCTGCTGAGCCTGGGCATGGGTGCGGTGGCTGTATTGGACTTCATCCACTACTGCAGGGCCACCGTGTGCTGGGAACGAAAGGTACCGACCCGCCTGCTCTCTGTGCTCCTGCCTGTGATCTCCATAGGCCCAGACAGGCCCATACCTCCCTTGCTTGCAGTGATCTTTTTTGTTTATTTGGGGGTTTGGCTTTACCCTGGTAGGCCCAGAAATCTTTTGGTCTGCCATCCTTCCCTCCCCTACTTGCCACTGCTAAAAAAATAAAGCCCTCAAAATTAAAAGATTGACCAGTACTGTCTCAAATGGGACCAGTCGTGTGTGGTACCACAGCAGTCCCAACTCTGCCACCCATTGCCTTGTGTCCTGGGACAAGTCATTATTGCTCTGGGTGTGTTTTGAAGATCAGTTGAGATATAAACTGCATTAAAAATTGTGAGATGCAGTACAAGTACAGGATGTAACTTTTACTGTCAAATTATGAGGCAAAAATGGGGATTTTACCATAATAGTTAAATAATGATAGTAGACCCACCTATAAAATAGGAATGGCTGTGGTGCCCACCTCGCAGGAACCAAGCTGCAAGAGTTAAGTGACATGAAGCTTATAACACTCCCATGCAGCGTCTGGCCCCCAGTGGCAGCTCTTCAGCGTGCAATGGTGCCCCTGGGAGGGACCTGCGGCCCTTAGCATGGTGTGGTCAGGCCGAGGGTGCTGGGCGGTTGGGATGAGCCAATGGAGTCAACCAGGGTGCATATACCCAGCACCGCACGCTGAGCACCTCCCAGGTGCAAGAGCTTACCTGGCAGCTGTGTTTAGGGGAGCTCCTGGAACTGTGTGGCTACAGGCACGGGGTGGGAACCAGGTGATGGGGAAAGAATGGGAGGAGGAGAGAGTGGAAGGGGCGTGGAGGGCACTGCTCGGTGACAGTGAAGCGGCCACAGCTCCTGCAGCTTAGCCTGCTCTACTAAGTGCAAGTGCCCACTACCTCCCTCGTTTGGTTAAAAAAACCTCTTTTAGCTGAAAAAGCAAAACTTGGGAATAGTTTAAAAAAGAAAAAATAGGGCACCTGGGTGGTTCAGTTTGTTGGGCGGCCGACTTCGGCTCGGGTCATGATCTCACAGTTCTTGGGTTTGAGCCCCACATCAGGCGCTGTGCTGACAGCTCAGAGCCTGGAGCCTGCTTCAGATTCTGTGTCTCCCTGTCTCTCTGCCCCTCTCCTGCTTGCACTCTGTCTCTCTCTGTCTCTCTAAAGTGAATAAAAATGTTAAAAAGATTTTTTTAAAAATAAGTAAATAGCATAAAGAGTACTTTAATAAAAAGTAATGATCTGTTTCCTAACGTGTATTCTGGAGAGTGCGTTCAATTATGAACATGTTTTATGTGTATGTGTTTCTGCATTTTTCTTCACATTACTGGTAGCCTGCCTTTTTTCTCATTTCATAATGCACGGTGTCTTTTGATGTCCATTGCCCAAAACCAGAATAGACAGATCTGCTTCATCCTTTCTAACTGGACGGTGTCCCTTTGAAAGGACTTACTCTTCAAGGTATCCCCTTCAGTGGGTCAGCCTTCCCCTCTGGTTCTGGTTGGGTAACTCCTACTTGCTCTTCTGACTCGGCTCAGGTGTGCACACCACGTCACCCTCCCCTCCGGGCCAGATGTGATGCCTCTTCCCTGGGCTCCCCTAGCCCCCCATGCTCCCCTTTCTCCTGGCTTTGTGTCCTGTGTTGTTAGTATCTTTCTGTCTCCAGGGTCCATACCGGTCCCCTCTTATCCCCACTGTGGTGTCTGACACATGCTGTGCACTCAGGAGCTGCTGACTGGATGAATTGGTGCCTAGCAGAAAGGTGGCACTTTTTGCTAACATTGAGGACCACAGACTGAGCTGAGCTTTGTTTAAGAGGGATTGAGCTGGCAGTATAGGTTGGATGTGCTGGTGAGACTGTCCAGCAGGTGATTGGAATTAGGACCCTAGAGCGCAACAAGGGTCCTTCCATGGAGGGGGTGGTTGCAGCGGCAGCCAGAGGCTGCTCTGGGCGAGGACATGCAGGGGAGTGGAAGCACTGAAAGCCCAGTACTCCCTGGTGACCCTGCCCGGAGGAACGGTTTTCATCTTCCATCTCTGTTGCAGGGAAACATAGTAGCCCTGGTGCACGACAGTGGAGACACCGAGGACGAGGAGAACAACATCCTTTTGAACGGCCTTAGCCACCAGAGCCACCTGATCCTGCGGGCTGAGGGGCTGGCCACTGGCTTCTGCAGGGACGTGCATGGGCAGGTGCGCAGGGGCTCACTAGGCCTGAGCCTAGACTGTGTGTGGGATAGTGTCAGGCCCTGGGGGTTGTCTGGTTGGGGCGTTTCTTCGGACGGACGGAAAACCTCAGAAGTTGTGAGAACCCAAATTAGAGTCTGTTCCAGATGGTGCTAGCCTCATGTACCTGTTCAGGTGTTCCATGGTGGTCCCGTTTGTGACCAAAGTGCAGCTCCTAAAAAGGAGACCAGATTGCCTTCTGGAACAGAATGCAGGGGCCCTGCTATCAAATAGCAGAATGCCTCTGCAGGACCACAGCAGGCTTTGTATACTCAGGTCAGTGCTGCTGCTTTTATTTTTTAATTTTATTTTAATTAATTAATTTTTTTTTAAGTTTGTTTATATTGAGAGAGAGTGTCTATGCAGGTGAGGGGCAGAGAGACAGAGGGAGAGAGAGCAAATTCCCAAGTAGGCTCCTCACTGTCAGCATGGAGCCCAATGTGGGGCTCAAAATCACGAGCCACGAATCATGACCTGAGCCGAAGTCAGACACTTAACCAACTGAGCCACCCAGGCACCCCAGTGCTGCTCCTTTTAAAATACAAATGTGGAGGCACCTGGGCGGCTCAGTCAAACTTCCGACATCAGTTCAGGTCATGATCTCTCAGTTCGTGAGTTCGAGCCCCGTGTCAGGCTCTGTGCTGACAGCTTAGAGCCTCTAGCCTGCTTCAGATTCTGCCCCTCCCCTGATCACACTCTGTCTCTCTTTCTCTAAAAAATAAATAAACGTTAAAAATTTTAAAAAGTAATAATAATAAATAAAGTACAAATGTGGGGGGACCATGCCCATGGCTGGGGTTGTTGCTGCCCCACTCTTGCCTCCGACCGAAATATTTGAGAACTCAGGCAGAAGCTGAGAGCCCTGCCTTAGAGGAAGGTCAGGTTCTACCCCTCCCAAGGGGCTACCATGCTTCTGTGCCTTCTGGAACTTTTTTTTTTTTTTTTTAATGTGTATTTATTTTGAGAGAGAGAGAAAAGTGCAAGTAGGGGAGGGGCAGAGACAGAGGGAGAGAGAGAATCCCAAATAGGCTCTGTGCTATCAGTGCAGACCCCAGTGTGGGCCTGGATCCCATGAACTGCAAGATCATAACCTGAGCCGAAACCCAGAGTTAGACGCTTAACTGAATGAGCCACCCATGTGCCCCTGGAACTTCTCTTTTGGAATCATCCCCCAAAGCTGTCATGGCTTCCAGGTTAACTTGATGTTGACCACTCTTGGCACATTAGAGGTGGGTGGGAGTTTTGGCCCAGAGTCATTCAGGGGTAGCTATAGAAAATAAAACAAAGGAGCAAGCTCAGAAATGCTGTGTTGGTCGTGTTCATGTGCATGGCATGAGGAGAGGGTCCTGCCAGGAAGCTTGTGTCCTGGCTCTAAGGCCAGTCCCCCTGAGCATTCTAGCATGTCTGGCATTGAGATATCATCAGAATAAGAATAAATGTCTAGCCTTCCTGAGCCTCTGAATTGGATGTACTGATTTTAATGAGTCGATTTTCCCAATTATTGTAGCCAATAGATATAAAACCATGCCTAGGGAAAAGAGCAAAAGAGAACACATAAAAATACTTTAAGGGTTTGTATCTGGGGGGCTTTTTTTCTTTTTCTTTCTATTTCACACTTTCTGTAGTGAGCAAATATCACTACTGTAATGGACGGGAAACCTTTAGTTTTAGTTAGCTGGTCATAAGCTTTGTTTTAGAAGCCAGCCCCTGGCTGCATGGCACATGACTGTGATCTCAACTTAGGGGCCTTAGTTGCAGGTTACAGAGGAGGCAGGTAGGGTTCATAATGGAGCAGGTAACTTGGGGGCTGCTTCTCTCTCATCCTGCTTCTTGTCACTGTAGCTGAGGATCCTCTGGAGGACGCCATCACAGCCCACAACCCAGCGGGACCGGAGCCTCACTTACCAGTACAAGATACAGGACAAGAGCGTGTCCTTTTTTGCCAAAGGAATGTCTCCTGCTGTTCTGTGACCTGATTGAGGGGCAAATGTAGCTACCTTGGACTGTTTTCAGATGTGAAAGATGAAACAACGAGTGGGAATGGATCTGCACACCTTTGAAGTGGTATTTCAGCCTGGATTGCTACCACTGTGACCCGATGCCGTGGAATGGCTCTGTGACAGTATGCCTTTGTTGCCCAGGGCCCTATTCCGGAAACACATAAGGAATTGCAACCCGGCCTCTGCTGAGAGAGATGCCACATATTGAAACCAGGTGAAAGTCATCCCAGGAGCCTTTCATTAAATACACTTTAGCCTCAACTGCCCATTTTTGGCTTTTGAGCCTTTCAGAGCCAGAGAAGGTATAACTGTGCCAGCCAGGGGACAGTCCTGGGTGGCAGGCATACGAGGTGACAACTTGGGTAATTATGGCTGTGGTAAGTCGAGTCCTACATCATGGCTTCCTCACAATGGATTGTCTCATTTAATTTTCACCTTCATCCAGCAAAGGTATTTTTCCTTCAGTCCAGTAAGAAAACCGGCTTAAAGAGGTTTGGAAACACGCTCACAGTTGTAGAGCAGGCTGTAGATAGTGGAGCCTAACTCTGAAGTCCACACTTGCTGACTGACCCTCAAGGAAACCAGGGGCAGGCTCCCTAGCCGGTTCACAGCCTCCTTGGTTGTGTGGTCCCTGACCCAGGTGTCATGAAACCGCAGCCTTGGTCACATGAGGCTTCATGGCCTTGGTGACAGGGGTAAGGAGTGTTCTTGCCACCAGGTGGGACAGGGCCTTGGCAAGTTGCTGCCTCCCTTACCTGTAAAGACTGAAGAGGTGAGCACTTGACCCAGCGTCCCATAGATGCCAACTTACCACACTCTGCCCGTCGGTCAAGATCACCTCAGTAGACACCGGGGGTATTCCCTTAAACTGGGTACATTTTGTTGTACCACAATGAATTATTTTTAAAATTAAAAGTAAATAAAATGAAAAAAATAACACTGCAGGGACTAAGGAAATTTCATACCTGTTGTTTAATTGTAACTTTTTCACATTTTGTAGTCTTCATAAGAGGAAACAATTTATCACTCCTCCCCTCAAATCATAAAAAAAAAAACTTAAAAAAACAAAAAAAACAGGAATGCCTGGGTGGCTCAGTCAGTTAAGCGTCCAACTGCAGCTCGGTCATAATCTCATGGTTTGGGAGTTCAAGCCCTGCAACAAGGCTCCTTGCTGACAGTGCAGTGCCTGCTTGGGATTCTCTCTTTCCCTCTCTCTCTGCTCCTTCCCCACTTGCACTTTCTCTCTCTCTCTCTCTCTCAAAATAAACAAACAAACAAACAAACAAACAAAAAATAAAGCAGGGAAGGGGCCTAGGAAAGTGAGGGATAATGAAATTTTAGTTTTTTCCCTGTAGAGGAATTTCTGAATTAAAGCCTGGATTGGCCCTCACGTGGTATCAAGATTGTTCTTTGGAATGATGGAGCCAGTTAACAGTGACCTCTACGTTTTCCTCCACCAATGTTGGATTTAACTTAATTTTTACTAACTTAATAGTTGTGTAAAGTTTGTAAAAATGAATATCTCTTTAATGGCTAGGATATAATTTTCTTTGTATTTTCCCTTGTGTTGAGAATGTATTCCTCACTTTTAATGACCTATCAATTAGAATGTGGTGTCAACTTTGTTTTCTCAGTTCTTTGTAATATTTTGGAAAGGATTTTATCATTGTCTGTGTTCATGTATTTTTTTTCTATATTTGGGTTTTTAAAAATACTTTATCTTGGGGCACCTGGGTGGCTCAGTTGGCTAAGCATCCGACTTCTGCTCAGGTCATGATCTCTCGGTTTGTGAGTTTGAGCTCCGCATCAGGCTCTGTGCTGACAGCTGAGAGTCTGGAGCCTGCTTCGGATTCTTTGTCTCCCTCTCTCTCTCTGCCCCTCTTCTATTCTCTCTCTCTCTTTTTCTCTCTCTCTCTCTCTCTCTCCCATTTCAAAAATAAACGTTAAAAAAAAAAGTTTTGGGGCGCCTGAGTGGCTCAGTCGGTTAGGCGTCCAACTTCAGCTCAGGTCATGATCTCACAGTTCGTGAGTTTGGGCTCTGGGCTGACAGCTCGGAGCCTGGAGCCCACTTCGGATTCTGTGTCTCCCTCTGCCTGCCCCTCCACTGCTTGCACTCTGTCTCTTGCATTGTTTCAAAAATAAATAAACATTAAAAAAATTTAAAAAGTTTTGTTTTCTATGCAGATATGCATTAATTCATGAAGTTTTTGTGGAGTTCCTGTTTTATATGAGGGACTCAAGATAAAGACGGTCCTCAAGTCACCTGCTGTGCTGTGATGGGGGCTAGGGAAGAGGCATTGAAATAAATAACATGCAGCTGTGGAGAAGATGATGCAGGCCACAGAAACAACTCAAGTAGTGAGTGGGGACAGATTGGTGGTCACAGGAAGGAGTAATTATTTCCCATCACGTTTTTGTTTTTGTTTTGTTGTTAAGGGAGCAGAAAACTGGGGAAGAATTTATGGAGGCAGTACTATTTGAACGAGACGTTGGAATGTTCCTATTTTGTCACTGATGTTACCTTTGTTCTTCAGGATTCAGGAATATATTTTTCTTCCTGAATGGAATGAAGGTGCTGTTCTTTGTTGTTTCTTGTTTAAAATAATTTAAGAAAATTAACTTCTTTAGAATTTGCTACAGTACTGTAATTTGTCTACCTGCTGATAACTAAATAGCCCGACAGTATTTATAGTGTTTACTGAAAAGTAGTGATCCTCTCTATGTAGTTTGGCTTTATTTATACGTAAAGTTCTTAAAACTGAGCTTTTCTGAAATTTATCCTTTTTTAATTTTTTATTTAAAATTTTTTTAATGTTTATTTATTTTTGAGAGAGAGAGAGAGTGAGTTGGGGAGGGGCAACGATAGAGGGAGACACAGAATCCGAAGCAGGTTCCAGTCTCTGAGCCCAGTGTGGGGCTCAAACCCATGAACCGCGAGATCGTGACCCGAGAAAAATTCTGATGCTTAACTGACTGAGCCACCCAGGCGCCCCGAAATTTATCTTGTTTTTTAATGTTTGCTTATTTTTGAGAGAGAGTGCATGTGCATGCACAGGCACGCATGTGAAGGGGGGGAGGGGCAAAGAGGATCTGAAGTACAGAGCCTGATGTGGGGCTCGTATTCACGGACTGTGAAATCATGACCTGAGCCAAGTTGGCGCTTAACCAACTGAGCCACCCAGATGCCCCTGAAATTTGTCTTTAATTGATACTGAAAGTTTAGTATATGTCTGCTCTCAAGAGCCTTTATTAAAAGGATATCGTCCCCTCTTGTTTATCCAGATGAATTTTACCAGCACTTCATTCAATCTCTAGACAGTATTCTTCAGTGACTTTTTCTCTTGTTTTTAATATTGTCATCGTGTAATTTTATTTAAAAAAAATAGTGAAGAAATTAATACCCTCTTATTAATTTTTTTTTTTTATTACTCGACAAGAAATGATCCCATTTTGTGGATATTTCTTTGGTGTCTTTGACACAGGGATGTAGTTGACTTCTTAAAATTTATAACTTATCCTACAGTTTTTCTCAGCTATTCTAAAAATTTTCTGATTGAGATTCCCGAATTTTTTGATATTTTTTTCTTGTTTTCCTTTTTTCAGATATTAACATCTGCAAATAATGCCACCCTTGCTTATTTTTTCTTTAAATAGGGAAAAAATTTTTTGTTGAAGTTGACACACAATATTAGTTTTAGGTGTACAACATAGTGATTTGACAGTTACATACATAATGAAATACCAGGATACAAGTATTGGTAATTAGCGTCTGTCACCATGCAAAGTTATTAATTATATTATTGACTATATTCCCTATGCCATACTTTGCATCCCTGTGACTTATTTATTTTATAACTGGAAGTTTGTATCTCGTAATCTTCTTCATCTGTTTGGCCCATTCTCCTACCCCCGTCCCGTCTGACAACCATCAGTTCCGTGTATTTATAAATCTTTTGTTGCTGTTGTTTTTAAGTTCCACATATAAGTGAAACCATATGGTATTTGTCTTTCTCTGCCTGACTTATTTCACTTAGCGTAATACCCTTAGTCCATCGTGTTGTCACCAATGGCAACAGTTCATTCTTTTTTATAGCTGAGTAATCCATTGTGTGTGTGAGAGGGAAGGAAAGTGAGAGAGTGTAAGACATCTTTATCCATCTGTCAATGGACACTTGAGTTGCTTTTAGATCTTGGCTGTTGTAAGTAATGCTGCTGTAAACATAGGGGTGCCTTATCTTTTTGAATTAGTGTTTTTCTTTTCTTTGGGTGAGTATTCACATATAGAATTACAGGGTCATATAGAATTTCTATTTTTAATTTTTTGAGGCATCTCCATACTGTTTTCTACAGTGGCTGCACCAATTTATATTCCCACCTACAGTGCATGGGGTTTCCTTTTTCTCCACATCCTCTCCAGCACTGGTTATTTCTTGTGTTTTTGATTCTAGTCATTCTGACCAGCGTGAACTGATAGCTCATTGTAGTTTTGATTTGCATTTCCCTGATGATTAATGATGTTGAGCATCTTTTCATGTGTCTATTGGCTATGTGGATATCTTCTTTGAAAAATGCCTATTCGGGCACCTGGGTGGCTCAATCAGTTAAGCATCCAGCTCTTGACTTTGGCTCAGGTCACGATCTCACAGTTAGTGGGTTCAAGCCCCATGTCAGGCTCTGCACTGAGAGTGTGGAGCCTGCTTGGGATTCTCTCTCCCCATCCCCCCACTCGTGTGTGCGCGCACTCTCTCTCTCTCTCTCTCAAAATAAATACACTTAGAAAAAAATACTTGTTCATGTCTTCTGCCCATTTTTTATTTATTTATTTTTTCAACGTTTATTTATTTTTGGGACAGAGAGAGACAGAGCATGAACGGGAGAGGGGCAGAGAGAGAGGGAGACACAGAATCAGAAACAGGCTCCAGGCTCTGAGCCATCAGCCCAGAGCCCGACATGGGGCTCGAACTCACGGAC